CTAAACGCAGAGGTGAATTTTGTCGACAGTAGCCAGACCTACCATTTATAGCAAATCGCACTACTCGACACCTACTTCTGTATATAGGTATAAACCCGACAATTCGAAGATTTCTTCGCAACCTAGGCTGCTAATTTATCTCCAAGACTAGCCAGGTCGTATTTAATTTGAAAATAGAGCAATCATCTCAAGTTTTATACTCATGACTTACCCAAAAACATGACATGCACTTATTCAAAAATCAGGTATGATTAGACGCCAACTCGTCCTAAAGCCATCTTTGTTTGCTTACATTTCTCTCTAATGGCAACAAATATGTAAATTGAGTAAAAACGTGTTGTAAAAACATCTGCGTGACTTCTCAATTTCTGTGACTAAAGTGAAGTGCAAAAGCCTTTTGCAAATTTCCCTATCTAGTAAGTGTAAGCAAGTAAGGGGCGTAAAAGCTAGAAAATCTCAAAATTGTGCCAAATTGAAAAGGTCTCTACTGTTGTTAGGCGTAATGAACATCTAGTGGGCTTGTGGCCTATATAAATATCTTTCAGGCTGATAGATCTGTACTTCTACCGTAACCGACATGTACTGAGCATTAAAGAATAAGCAGAAGTACGAAAAGTAGCGATGGAATTGAGAGGGCGGGAGTTTACTTGCCTTTCTTCTATTTCAACTTCTTTTAGACACGCGATGCGAACTCCTCCCCACTCTCACCCCCTCCCTGTTCCTTTCTCTTCCTTTCCCGCTTTCTTTGATTGCCACAAAACTCTCTTTATTTTGGGAAATAAAATTCTTACGTCAATTCCGAAAAAAAGAATTATTCAGGGCGTTTTCATTGAGGCTCGTTACACAATCTTTATTTAACATTTATTACTTTGCGTAACGCCGCCTGAGTAACAGATACTGTATTTAAAGATGATAGCATTGATTTTTGTCAAATTAAGTCTTTGTAAAACTTGTCATGAGCAGCTCCAATCCTTGAAACCGACAGATATCGTAAAGGTCACATGAAAGTAATCAAGATCGAGGGCAGAGATGTTTTTGCGAAAAAATCACAGTTCCCTTATAAACTTGTCAATCACGCATTATATAAAGTCACACCTTCACATTTTTGATCAATTCTTTATCATTTCAGAAAACAGCACATCAAGACAATCTCGAATTTCATCAACGGCTGGATGTTTCGAAACGCTCAACGATTCAATGTTGCTCAATCTTGACTCTAAACTAGTGGAAAATATCAATTCATTAGGTGGAATTTTTTTAGGTTTCTAAAAATAATTTAGCAACATAGAAATTGTAATTTAGACGAATGCAAATATGAATGTATGAAAATTGCCTTGACGCATCGACAACCATGTGGGGCGTTGAATTGGCTACCCAGCAGCAATGGATGCATGCTTTTTAATGTTGGATTCGATTTGAAACTTATTGTTCCTCATCCTTCTGCTCAATTCTTGGTAAATAAATGTGGTAAGTTTCTAGTTTACAGAATTAATGTTTTTATCGTAATTAACATGCTTTATCCATCGCTTAGTAGTCTATTTCACAGATCTACAAAGAACAGCACCTATTAGAATGCGATCATGAGGTAAAGGAATCGCGAGGGGAGAAGTGAGGGGATTGCATTTGTTGGCAATGGGAAGGAGGGAACAACAGACTAACTAACGCTTCGCTAATCTTTTCGTGTATAAAGAAAGGCCTGAACTCTCCCTTAGTGAACTGACAAAAAGAAAGCAAATTTTAGAAAAAGGTCTTTATAGAGACCACCAAATTTCCACTCTCTAGCTTTGATATTGTTATTTCAGGCGGGAATAAACTTGCTGCGCAAATGATCGCAACTAAATGTACGACTTATATGAATCTTTCATGAGTTGCGAAATTTGCAAAACAGGTGAAAAAGATATTAGTCAGCAATCTAATTGACATTCAATTCAGAATATAGTTGCAAGTTTCCTTTCCTCTTAGTTTCAAAGCGCCATGAACGCAGTGAAACCGTATCGCCAACGCAGGCGCGAAATTTGTCGCCAGTGAAACTATAGACGGCAATTCCACAATGTGGAGATCTATTGGATTGACGGTGCCGCCTTTTTGGACTCAAAATTTTTTTAGTAAACTGGAAAAGAAGTTTTTGCAAAAGAGGAAGTTTTTCTTTACAAGAAACAATAATTGGCTTTGTAGTAATTGATTAGAGATGATTGAAATAAGTAAAGAAGACCAAAAAGCTCACCGACAGCTTAATTTTTTTCAAGCAAAAAAAAACTTGAGAAACATCCTTTACGCCTTGTGGGGCGAGCGGTATTGGATAAGTTACAAAAATCATATCCATTATCCACGATAGGGCCTTAATAGGACTATGGTAGGTCTATGATACAATGATCAAACAGAATTTTTTTAGAATGGTCTAATTGGTTTAATTGAAATACTTTACAAAAATTACATAAGCCCTCACCGTGACACTAGGGAAAATCGGATAATTTTATGTCCATCATGCGCGATGGTTTTATTATCGGGAATAGATATTATTTTTGTAGACAGCATGCTTAACTCCAGTAAACCCATTTCAGCAAATCTGTTAGCTTGACCTGCATCGCATACCCATCGTAATTTTACAGCAAGTTTCTATAGTAGGGAATAACTATGACTTTCGTAGAAAGCACAGCCAATTACCTCATCGAGTTACGGTGAGTTCTGGGGAAAACACATCCCGTCACGCCTATCT